TCTGGGATCCATTTCGATGCTCCTCTTGACAGCCCTTTTTGTCCTCTCCGATGGATCAGGACGACCCGGACGTTGCTCAGTTGTTTTCTCGCCGTGTTTCCTGAACTGCACGATGATTCTGTTGACTGTCAAAAGCGGGATTCCCAAATTCTGCGAAATTTGCCGCTGAATTATTTCATCATCTGCTTGACCAACTATCTTTCCTCTAACAAAATCTGACAATTCGAGAGAATCTTGAGTTCTAGGCATGTTGTAGCACAAGATGATTAGTGTGCGGACCATTTTCATTTATATAGTGCTCTGTGAACACAAATTAGTTAGCACAAATAAGTTAAATGACGAAAAATTAGGAGTCTATTTACTTGTGACCACGCTGTGTACTATTAAGTTTTAATACGTAAGAATTCACTGTTTAGTTTTAGATCATAAAATTAGTTATAAGACAAATCGAATATGAATAGAAAAGGATTTGTTTGTTTCTTATGGAATTTTACTCTACGTGTACCAGAGGCAACCTACAGTCCCAAGAGCCTCCTCTAAACCCTCTTTCCAAAAAGGCTTGCCTTACGATGCTTAAAAGTGCCCTTTTTTGTTAATGAGCCCCGCCTATTCAATGCCTTTGCAGATTACTAACGAGTAATGAGACACTTGGTTTTAGAACTTCTAAACAGGGTCAAGGTGGGAGGTACAATACAACGAAATAAGTAATCTCAAACAGTACTATTTAATTCTCTGGAAATACTTTATTCCACGTCCTGCTGTTTGAACAATAAACTGATGATGCATTTGCAACACGTTGTTTAAAGATCTCAGAAATAAGTACTATTTCAATAAGTTTAATGAAAACGATGGAACCTACAGGTACTAATGTTCTATTGGTTAGAAACAAGAGCATAAAAACGATGGAACCTACACGTACTAATTTTCTATTGGTTAAAAACAAGAACATGAAAACGATGGAACCCACAAGAACTAATGTTCTACTGAGTAAAAAGAAGTATATGAAAGCGATGGAACCTACACGTACTAATGTCTTATTGGTTAAAACAGAGACAAATCCTCTTCGTATAGGTGTTGCAAAAAAGAATAATGAAAAAAAAGTCTGTATTTTAAGCATCGGAATATCTCACGGATATTTCTCATTCAGTTTGTCTCCCCTCCGATAAGTTTAAGAACTTACATTGCTGAAGTTCGGGGTTCTATTCCACCCGGGAAACACAGCAGATAGTGCAATATGGCTTTGCTCTAAAACAAACAAGTAGATTTTAACTTACAGAGCAAGAGATATATTAAAAGGGAGCTAGTAATGATGCAGTTTTTGTTGTGCACATAAGGGCTAATGATGTAGGGAAAGGTAGGTCAGAGGAGCAAATTAATAAGAGCAAGGGGTTTATAAAGGGATTTAAAGAAAAATGCCATAACTTAATTGTGTCAGGGATACTGCTGAAAATTAATTGTGGGGATGAAATTGTGATTAGATCGATAGGGTTAAATGCTAGGCTTGGGCTAATGTGTAATGATGAGCAGATAGGCCGGTTGGACTTGTGGAATCAGTTCAATGGGAGAAAGGAGCTTTTGGAATAAATGGTTTACTTTTAAATAGGGTATGGTCTGGCTTGTTTGCAAGAGCTATTAAATCAGCTGTAAGGGAAGATTTAATCTAGGACTAGACAGTGATGAGAGCCAGGATAAACTAAATGCAAAACAAATAAGATGCAGAGGAAACTTTAGCATAAGAAATAGGTATAGAAATAGTTCTAAGGAGAGGCTTAATTGTTCCTATTGTAATGCTAGAAGTATAAAAAATAAAATAGATGACTTTAGAGCGCTGATAGGAATGGAGGATTTTGATATAATTGGAATAACTGAAACATGGTTAAATGTAAATGATTTTGATGACAGAAATTTCTTTGAAATACAGGTTTAGTAGGAATATAGTACTAGAGAGAGGGAAGGACTGGCTTTATATGTAAAATGTGAGTTACATCCTGTTGAAGTTGAGGATATCAAAGACAACAACAAGGAGATTGAATCCATTTAGTTTCTGTTAGCAGATATAAAGGTAAAAGGCTTTTAGTGAGAATTTGTTACAAACCACCAGATGATACTGATGAAGTTAGTGAGAAATTTTACAATGAGATTAAGACTTCAGATTTTAATGAAGTCATAATTATGGAGGATTTTAATTTCAGACATATAGACGGAGAAATGCCAGAGTCAAACTATGAGGGAGAAAGGTTTTCGGATTCTGTCTTTCTTCACCAATTAGTCAAGGACTCTACTAGAATCAATGCTATTTTAGATATATCTTTAACTTCAAATACATAAATGATCAAGAGGGTGGAAAATGGGGACGAGATCATTGCTGTATTAGGTTTGATGTTTTTCTGCATATGGAGATCAGAAATAATGATATTTTGGTTACTAATTTTAAAAAAGAAAAGTTTGAAGGGATGCGACTATAATTATCTGTTTTGAATTGAACAGCTGAGTTATTTAGAGACACTGATCAGATGTGGAAAATTTTTAAAGATAAATTTTTAAATATTCAAGATAAAGATATTCCTTGTAGAAAGAAAGGGGTGGCTGCAACTAAAAATCCAGGTTGGCTCACAAAGGGTATAAGAGAGAAAATTAAAAAATGAATCACAAATTTAAGAAATTTAAATTGATTGGTATGACGGGAGATTTAGAAGATTATAAAAGATCAAGAAAGTTGACAGAACAGGAAATTAGGAGATCAAAAAGGATGTATGAAAAAAGATTGGCTGAAAATATAAAAATTAACAGTAAGGATTTCTTTAAGTACATAGAGGCTAAATAAAATGTTAGGATGGGGGTAGGACCCTTGAAAGATGATAAAGGCAGGCTTGTAACTGATGATTATGACTTTGTTTGTTTATAGTTAAGCACAAAGCTACACAAAGGGCTTTCTGTCCTCTGCCAACAACGGGTATCGAAACTCAGTTTCTAGCGTTGTAAGTCCGCAGACAAACCGCTGTGCCACTGGGGGAGCATGATTATGAGATGGATAGGTTATTAAATCCTGTTTTTTCTTCAGTTTTTACTCGTGAAGATTTGAGCAGTATTTCTCATCTTGATCAATTGATAGATGGCAATAAGTTGGGACAATATGATTGTATTATTTCTAAGCTTGTTAAGAAGAATATTAGGAAGACTAAAAAATGATAAGTCTCCTGGGCCAGGTGCCAAAGGATTGGAAGTTATCTAATGTTACTCCTGTTTTCAA